TTTCGTCGCGAGTGATTGAACGTGTGACGTTTAAGCGCCCGACGGCACCGATTATCATTTCTATCGTGCATTTATCTCAACGATAAAAATCTACCGCGGATTACTTTTTGTGAAAAGCATCGCCATAACACGAATCGTTTAAAATTATCTATCGTCGTCCTGCAATATTACGTCGATTCTGCAAAAGATCTATATTCTACGCGGTTTAATTGAGAACTAACTAGTTGCAATGACGATCGTCATGAAAAGTAAAGTGAGTAGAAAGTTAAAATAATTGACCGCGGGAAAATTACCTAAATATACCTATAATTAATTATTCATTAATTAAGCCATCGTCCGTACGTGGTTCAACTTGCTGACGTTAAGCAATTAATCACGCCCGTGACACGTTGCTTATGATAAATGTCATACGCGCGAGCGTTGTAATGCACACGCCAACTTGCGTTACTTGATCATAAATGTAGCAGAGAAGTGAAATATATAACGCGTTGATTGTCTCATTTAAATTGCTTCTTATTTTCTTCAGTTAATTAAGACCAAGGAACTGAATTGCTGATAATTTACTTCATAATCGTCAAATCGTTCAATCTGACATATTTAATCGTCTTGCCTCTTAATATAAATCGTTATACATTAAAAGACAAATCTCTGCTGAATCCTTTCGAATATCATGAGATGTAGATTAATCAATATTGCAAACCTCGAAGCGTCTTCAATCGGCAAAAGCCGAATCTCTTCCCGTGTGGCTTTAAGGTTGTGCGAGGTTAAGGCAATTTTCAACGTAATTCCGTTAGGTGTGGGCTTCAAATCGATATAATCAGCGAACGCGGGGTTGCTTTAACCACGGTGGCCGCGTCGGGCTACGACTCTTCCGCCTAAATTCTACCCCTGCACCCAACTTTAGAATCTTCTTCTAACCGACCCTTATTATCAAAACGAGTGCATTGTTTCGGTATCGTGATACCAGACGGTTCATCCCTTGATCGAAAAACAGTTTGTAATGCGATGTGCCTAAGAATAATTTATTTTTATATCTTTATTACTTACAAGACTCACACAAACTTATACGAAATATCAAAATATATCGAAATTGAGAGAAAAGTTTTGATAATAATGATTGTATAAACAAGAAATTGTTTATTTCAACACAGAAATTGCGAATATATATTTCGAATATAAATTATTTTGAAATAGCAGACAAACACACTGAATAATTAGAAAATAATATAAAAATGTGTAAGTCGGATAAAATATCCCGAATTAATATTTCCTTGCAGATTATTCACTTGAGTCGGTGTCCGCATCAGTCACTATATTCGCAATGCTTTTAATAAGATAACAATGGTCAAAAACTTCATCTTCAAAACCACATCCTCCAATATTTAGATATTTCTACATGTATAAGCAATGCCAAATACCTATAAAATACCTACATGCTACACGATTTGTCCGTAGATTCCAATACAGCGTCCGAACAGGATCTCACGCTTGTTTCCCTTGTAAGTCCTTCGCGATCACTATAATCTCAACCTTTCCACACTCTGAGAGTTTACTCCCTGGACCAAGTCAGTAGAAACGACTGCCGCTATCGTCGAAATCGTTTGTTCAAGGACGGTGTCGCGACACCCGGGCGGAAAAATAACGAAGCCGCGTGATCGACCAGTTTACCGGTTTCGAATACGACGAAGACGAGCGTCTCTAAGCGCGAGATGTGGCACACCCCGAGACCTAGACACTACTGAACCAGCCCCATGGCAAACCTTGTTAACGGCAGTCGACAACCAAGTTTAAACTTCGGGTAACAATTCCCCTACCAACTCATTCTCTCTCTCTCTCTCTGTCTCTCTCTCTCTCTCTGTCTCTCTCTCTTCTCTCCTCTCGTGTTCTCTCCCCCTTCCCGTTTAGCGCTCGATCTCTCCCCCTTTGTCTCTTTCTCTCTCATTCATCGCGAAGATGACACTTTCTCTCTCGAAGAATTCTTCAAAACTAATTTAATCGTCAAAACTTGATGACTTTCCCGAGATGAACTAAGTAACTGCTCGCCAATAAATGTTTCTCTTTAATACCATAACGATAACTGCCTAACTAAAGAAACAGCATGTTGCTTGATGCTCTTATAAATGCCGAGATGTTTATAACCGCCAGTATGCTGTACAACATCAGAAAATTCTGTGTTAAATCTTAAAGATTTGAAACCATCATGTAAGCTCATGAATAATAACAATTGATTATTTTCAAATGGCTTGCTACAAATTAATTTTAAACCGCATCCTTTTGCTTCTCTTTAAATCTTGTTAGCAAATCACATCTCTATATCTTGCAAAAAAATAACATAGATAATAAATGTTATAATACACAGAAAGCACATTTTAAGTTAACAATGATTATTGAAAAATTTAATGGAATCAATATTGAAAATGTATAAAAACGTCAAACTATATCTTATCCCCTTGTTTTTAATGTTTAAGGCCAAAAGAATCCATAATATACATATCATAATATTTTTTATGATATTTAGCTGTAAATTATACAAACATATAAAGTGGTGCAAAAATATAACAAGATTTTTACAACGATTTTGAAAGAAAGCGTTCACCAAGATATCCAACATCAACCACTTCCGTAATGAAGAACAGAAACTATTAGAGAGAGAAGAGTACTCTGATATAGATATCTAACAAGAATTCCCGCCACGATTTCCCGAAAACAGCATTGATTTCGCTGTATCAGCAAACTCCATATTCGCTGATATCTTGGCCTTTGTCGATTCCATCGTCGAAAAGACGACACGGACAAGCCAACTGCCGTTAACCCCGAATCCCGGTGATCCTTCGCGGCCGAAATGGAGAGTGAGAGGGAGGGGTCGAGAACATGGAGGGTACCAAGTTCACCACAACCTTCCTTAAGCGGCGTGTCGGCGCGAAACTCGGTAGCCGCGTAACAAGAAAGAAGTAACTATCGTTGAAGCGGACTAGTTTGTTCAATGGCACGAAGACGCGAGGGGGCACGAAAGAGGGACAAGGGGAAACATAGGAAGGTGGGCCGAAGTTCCTCGCAAGAACAAGAACAAAGTTCCCGACAGAGACCCCCTCCGCTCTCTCGATCCTCATTCACCCCCCTTGTGAGGTGTATACCCTCGCAGATGCTCGCACTTCGCGCACAACCGGTTCACCTTGGAAACTTTGACTAAAACCAAATTCCAAGTACACACGCCCGCACACTCCTCGAGCCTACCTTTGAATTTGCCGCCGCGGCCGCGAAGTCACACCGTTCTTGTTTTTCAGACGCGTTGGCGAAGCAACGCGAATTAAGATCAGTGCGAATATGTATTCAGTAATTGATTGAAGAAACCATGAAGCACACGTGAGATTGCGTTATTGTATAGTAAATAGAGAAAGAAAATTGTTTATAATATTATTCAGTATCGCAAAAGAGAAAATATCGCGAGTTGATTATCGTAGAAGATATATCAAAGATATGTGACAATCGCTACTTTGATATTATATTATGAATATCGTATAGATGGAAAAATAAAAAATAAAATTATTGGTTAAATTCAAACTTTATACTGACGATAAAAAAATATTTATGTTAAAAAAGAATTATAATTTGTTATATCTACCTCTCCGTCGCACATAAACACACACATATATATATATACGAAGATTTATTATATTATTATCAACTTGCCAAATATTTACGAAAGTACGATAGAATCTTTTACGAATTTCGAAAGAGACTTTCCCGGCATTTCTTTGAAAATATAAATGTAAATTCAAAGTTCTACACCAAAACTCGCGAGAGATCCGAGATTGCGCCAAGTTGAAGAGAGATTTTTCAGTGGTTCTTAGTACTCACTCTGCGTTGATGAGCGGGAGATCTTCCACGTCAATCGATGATCGTACAGATATCGGAAGCCTCCTGGGTTACCGCAAAAGATTACTTCTCTCGTAGAATTCTAGGGCACCGTTTGATCTCTTCTCCGTTTACCGCGATCCTGATGCCGGAAGACGCGTCGAGGAAGCTCAAAAGAGGAGACGTAGACCCGTGATCGACGTTAGGCAGCCCTACGAGGCCCGTCCGAACCGTCCGCGCCGCGACGTCGACGAAGAGCGCCGATTTTCCACGAGCAACCCCGAGAGGTCGTACAACACCACCGTCAAGAGGAGGACAGCGGTGGAAGAGAAAGAGGAGGAGGAGAAAGCAGAAAGAGGGGTAGGTGGAAGGAGCCGGAGGAGGATTTCAAACTGGTATTGGTGAGGAGGAGACCGCCGACGTTGAACAGCACCGATACGCGGTTGTGTGCGCGTTTGCGAGGAGTTAGATTAGAGAGGAGGAGAGAAGCGAGTGTGAGAAGAGAGGAGAGCGAAAGAGAGACAGGGTTGGATGTGCGACGTTGGACGTGCATCAGTATTGGTGAGAGTAAAACTTTTCTCGCTTGTGTTCGTACGCACGCATCGACTCGTCTCTGAAGGAAAGAGAGAGTGAGAGGGAGAGAGAGAGAGAGAGAGAAATAGAGAGATGAGGAGAGAACGAGGAGAGACGAGAGGGGGAGGGGGAGCGACCGAGAATGGAAGAGAGGAGAGAGAAAGAGAAGGGGCGGAGGGGCGAACGGGGAGAAAGATAGGGCGTAGTACGATTTTGCTAGTACGGAGACGAGGTTCCAAGCAAAACGCGTGGTCCACCTCCGAGTTATTTCCTTTTCCATCCTCTTCCCCTTTCTCCACAAACCTCCCTTTCCCCTCTTTCTCCCCCTCCCCCTCTTTGCGCCATCCCCTGCTGCCCCTGTCATCCCTCACCCAGGGACCACCGTCGCAGCTTGGACGGCACAAATTATTACCCGTCGCAGGTGCATTTTTTCCTATTCCCTCGCTCGCTCGCTCGCTCTGCGCGCCTTCCCGCGCTTCACTCCAAAACGTCCGTCGTGTGACAAGAAATTACGAGAACTCGGAAGCGCGACCCCTTCGCCTCGCTCAATTACCGGCAACGAGGGTAAATCTCTCTGCTCGAGGTGCACGTAAACTGCAGCAGCCGGCGCGCCGTGATCTTAGGAGAAATCACGATGTACGCAATCAAAATGAAGCGATCTTTAGACAGCGATGATAAATAGACACATATAGTCGATAAAAAAAGAAAGAAGGAGAGAGAAAAATTTGAATAATAAAAAAATATCACACAATTTATCGCGAAAGCTCTACTGATCTTCATACATATAAAACAATATATTCACAAAAAGATGTAAAATTATATACGACTACATTCTTGAATGCTTATCGAAAATATTGCATTCTCCGATCGTCCGTTAACTGCAAGCCGCTTCTCGCGTAACCTCGTTTTTTTCCCAGCAAATTGATTTCTCGAATAAGCAGAATATATATACGCTATGCTAGCGTGCGAGCTTTCAAATCAGCTGTTTCGGAGCTATCCTGCCAACTATAAAATATGATGTGGCTGATCTCATATTTCGTCGTAAGTCATAAATAATTATTTATACATATTATAGTTATCGCCGTCTGTATTGACTTCACGCACTAACATTGTTCCGGAATGTCTCACAAACAAAGCTTTGCAAACCAAGAAAAATTTGAGACTTTGGAGAGAGAAGAATAAAGGGCATCCCAACATAAATCTGATATCAGACTTGTCCATCTCACGAGATCACTTCACACCGAAAAATAATCCACATTGCGCTGACGTACGTATATATATATCCGTTAAATCTTATGCCTTTTCCAATCCTCAAACGTAACGGCGTGACGGAATGTCCAACTGAAAAAGCGAACGTGTTCTCCAATGGTGTCATTGAAATCGCTGCGACCGAATCGCGGGATTGCGCCGATCGAGAGACAGAGGGAGAGGGAGGGTCAACGGGTTCTTTGAATCTCACGCGTAAAAACCGAAGATACCGTACGATAGTGAATAACGGGCTCGTTCGCAGCCGACGAGTAGACGGTGGGCTACCGAACGTCGAGTTTAATGCAGATTAAGGAGCGCGGGGGTGGAGGGGGGAGGGAGACTAGAGGGTCCTTTGTAGAACGCGTTTCGTTCGGTATTAGCTGGAAGTAGCTCGTAGAACCGTGGTATTACCTGGAATTACGTCTCAATCTACCGTGGCCGTCGACTAAACTAATATTAAAACTTTTAACGTAGTTAGAGCGCGGCCCGTGGTTGCTTTACCGTCCGTGAAGCTTCATGCTCGCTCTCTCTCTCTCTCTCTCTCTCATCTACCTCTCCCTCATCTTTTAACCTATCTCTCTTTCTCTCGCGCAGACATACCATCCTCTTCTCGCCCCGTACACGCGTGTGTGTATATGCGTGAGTTGCATTGACCGCTACTGAACTTTGATGTGTTTCCTGCACAAAATTCACCTCCGAAGTCATAAATTAGCTACCGGAGACCGATGCGTTTCTCTTTGGCCGGCTCCCTCGAACCAGCACCAATACCACGGCACTTCAACGAACTCAAAAGCATCAAAAGCAAACGTAAACGTCGGACAAACCTCGCCGATTTGCCGATGGCAGCAGTTATGGAAGTATGTAATATAACAAATATTCGATCCAGATTGTCACCTAATTTTTTTAACATACCTCGTCCATCCATGAAAGTGAAATGCGTTTTTTTCTTCTTATTTTATTTTTGCTCATCTGATCGTGGCGATTATAGCAATATTTACGAATGTCATATATAACTTTGCGATCATATGCACGATTGTAACAAAAAGTTATACAATCCATAAAATTTAAATATATTTAATCGCAATCTTTATTTTATTACTGGTCCATTTATCCCTCACTATACATGCCATATGAATGAAATCTTAATCTGAAATATAATTTATGATAAAAAATATGGTTGTTGTAGTACGTACAAAAAAAGACATCCCCAAATATATATATTAAACTGAATTCTCTCTAAAATCATCCTGTTTAACTGCCATGATCGTGTCAATTATTTTTGACGCGTTTTCAAAGTTGTTTCCGTTGGTCACTTTCACTTTGCTGATCGTGGCCTATCTTTAAAGTGCGTCGGCTGTCTCCGTTCTCACCGGGACAGGAACTTTTTATTCCGACGCTTAAGAAACGGCCGAGTCTTGCCAGATCGGAGTTACTCCATTTAGAATCTATTAAGTGAATTAAGTTCCACCAATGAAGTAGTTCTTCTCGCTTCGCCTCTCTATCTTTCTTTCCGCCAACCGTCGGCAACTTTTACTCCTTCCAGCTTCCTTCCAAAGTTGTCCGAGGACGGAGCGTCGGCCAGATGCGAAAAGATGGGAGGGGAAGGCAAAAATCGAAAATTTACTCTCAAATTCACACCGAATAATGCGAGAAGAGACGCGAACGCGACTAAAGGAAAACACGGCAATAAAATCGAGCACCTTGTATCAGCGAAACCTAAAACTGTTTTGTAATCCGGAAATAATGTATCGGTACCTTGCAACTGAAACAATTAAGCGCCATTTCACAATGCAAAGATAGAAATGAGCGTTCTGTATACGAACATATGACACTTCCTTCCTTTTACATTCAAGCCATAAGAAGATGTAGGTCGTTCTAGTTCCAAGACATATATATGCATTTATATTTTTTGTCTTACTAGACATACGAAAGATCAGTATTAGAAGTATACGCAATGATATCTGTCGATATTTGCCACGTTTTTGCACGCACATCCACAATTAATACGCTGATATCAAAAACTATTGTTTATTAAACATATGTAAATCATATATTGGTATGATAATGTAATTAAAGAAAAATATCCAACCGGTACCAGAAGATAACAGCCCTAAATTGTAAATTGTAATATTATCACACACACACACATACAACACACAAGATAAATAAATAATTTTTTCTCGTCATATTTCCCATCCATTTATTCCTAATGTAAATCTGAAACTTTGTAATTAGCGTGAAAATTGTCGCGCACGATCGTTTATTAATGCATATGTATTACACACATGCTTCATATTATGATGATAACTCAAAATTTCACATTAACTTCTAAAACACGGCTTATCGTCGTATCTGGAAAGAATCGAAAAATACAAGATAATTGCGTTATTCGATCAATTTCTTAGTACGCATCAACTTTTTCATCTCCCAATCTTTTACGTCATTACTCACTTCGATCATTCCCGTGTGACGCCCACGCGGCTTTTCTTTGATTGTAATAAATTTCCATAAATCATTTACCACAATAAGCGTGATGGTAACGTTGACGGACAATCTGTATCCAATGCGGTGCTTTGATATCTTGATGAACAATTGCGTTATTTACTTTGACTCTGCGTGATCGAAGTTTCCTAAATGATTTAACTTACAACCGGCTATATAATTAACAAGCATGTTTACGGTCTGATATTGTCGCCTAACAGTGTTTACCAATACTTTTGAAACTATATTGGCTAATAAAGCGAAAGTAAAAGCAAATGCAGAATGCAATAACTCTCTCTCGATGATAATTAATCCTTTAAAGATGTATATAAATTAAGAAACTGAATAAATTTTAGGGAACTAGTATCATAAGAATTTAGAAGGCCAATTTGAAACTAATATCGAATCGTTAATAACAATAAATAATGAATAATTTTCTTGCAATATTCTTATATAAATCAATTATTAATAAATAATATTAATAATGTACAATTATTACTAAATATGGTGCTTTATAATGTATCGATATACATATCCGTATAACTTGAATTGATTTTTATAATTTTATAAAAGCAATTATATAATATTAAAAAACAAAGCAGCCTCGATATATTCGACACGATGCAATATAAAGAAATGTGCACAATTTTTACATCGCTATATCAATAATATCTAAAATGTACTCAAACGCGACAGAGGCGATCGCGTATGAAACATCCTCGCGTTCGCAAGCCTCGAAGAGGAGTGTTGGAACGTCCTGCCCCGGCGACGTTTTCATCCCTCCCCGCGCTCGCGTCCTACCCTCAAAATTCTAGAGAGCTCTCCCGTCTCTCTTTCACTTCCCGCGGCCCCTTTATCGTTCCTCCTCTTGCCGGAAACGTCCACGCGCAAGCGTGTCCCCACTCTCGCTGAAAGCTCGTCGGCGAGACACACTCGGGAAAAGCTCCGCGTTCCACGCCTCCCACGATAGGCTTACTTTCGCGTTACTTTTTGCCGATGAGAAGGACGACGCCGGCGTCGTCTCGTAGGTGGTCGTGGGGTCCATATATGGCCCCGCGTCCAGGGAGGAAAAAGCTCTCTTCCCCATCGTCGTCGTCCAGGAAAGAGCTTTCCTACAAGCCGCGCTGGCTGCTTTCTCTTTTTGCTCTTTCTCTCCGTTTCGCGCGACCGCCGTCCTTTCTTCAGGGTACCGCCGGATTCTCGCTTCGTCTTTTTGCGCCCCGCTTCTGTTTCCGAGCTATCGCGAACAATAAACGACGGTACTCTCCGGAATTATAGCCGACACCGGAACGACAGCCAGAAGGGATCCACTCCGAGTCGAAAGTAGAGTATTTATCTGACATGTAATTACTCCCGATAATCCGCCGTTTGAGAACAATTCGCGATGCGTCCCCTTAATAGTACATCACGATAGTTTAAAGGCAAATCGATTTTGTTTCTCTAACGCATCAATAAATCGTTAAAATATATTTGACATGTAACAATCAAAATAGCAATATTGTACATGGCGCTTGTTACATAAACAAATATTATACGTTTCTCAAATAATTTTATGAAAACATATAATTATAAAGTACTTCATTTTAAAAGTGAAGATTTGGAATCGTGTTTTTGCACCCTAGCCGATTGTTGGGTAAAGGAAAACTGCAAGACGGTGAAACGGTAATTATGCAGGCACTAGTACTTTGCGCGAAAGTAGGAAAAATCCTGGAGCAAAGTATGTTAATGGCCGAAAGTGAAATAAAACGGCCGCGAGGTCACTCGAGCGGCAAAGTTCAAAGTCCAAAGTTCGGTTGCCACCCCTCAGATCCCCTTTCCTCGGAGACGCAACTCCCGGACTTTCCGAACCTCCCCGCAAGAGTGGAATCATCCGGATATTCTACTAGAGAATTCGCCGTTAAAAAAATGAATAATAAACATGATGCTTTCTCTCTAAAAAAATCTTATAAATATTTTTTAATGTGTCAAATTATTGTTGTTTGAATTGCTAATAGTTATTTATATTACTTATTGCCAAGAATATGAGTATGTTTGGCTTTTGCATGTTCAATTATTATCTTTCAAATTGCAATATTATTCACAAAATAAAAATAATTGCTTCAGTAAAGCATGATGAAGTTATCGGAGCATCAAGATATCTTACAGCGGGCTCATCGAAGTTGAAGTTTGCCAAAGGGGTTACTGATCTGATTTTAGGGGCGTTCGACGGTAGCTTTTAGGGGCGACCAGCGCAAGATACAGGCAGATATAAGAAGGCAAACACGGACGACACGTTTATATATCTGTATATGCGTATTTGTTCGTAAATACGGGAACCCAAGGCGTTGCGTACGAGGGTAAATATTGACAGGGGAAGAAATAGAGAGAATGAGGGAGGGAGAAAGAAAGAATGAAAAGAAAAAGAGGGGAAGAGATGAGCAGAGAGGCGCGTATACAGTCCCATATATCCATCGGAGAAAGAACGATGATGCCTCGTGGTCCGAGGCATAAATCCATCGGTTTGCTCTCTATCTTAACTCTCACTCTACGTACCACCTCGAGGCATCGAGGAGGCTTTTTCTGAGATCAATCTCCGCGATCTCGTCTGCAATTTTTATTGTCTCGGGGGCGCCGCCAGTCGCATGTGTTAGTCCAGTTCGATCTACGTATCTGGCCCGTCACATTTTTATCAATTTACATTTCCGTTCACTTCTTTAAAAATTAAATAAAAGTGTAATTTCCCCCTTTTGTACATTTTTTCACGAGCGAAGTTTATTTTCACGCACGATTAGATAAGTAAACAAAAATGTTTTTCTCTGAATCTTTATATAAGATCTAATACAATCCATAATTTTCTATTCAGAATGTAATTTGATATTAATATAATTAATATATAATTAAAGCTCACCCTTTTATATGTTAAAGAGCATAAAGCATATAAAAATCAAAGACTTAACAATAAATATTATTATTATGTAATTTAATTAATGATAATTGTCTCTTTTAAAGTAGACGCAGCATACATGATATATGATTTCGCAATTATTTGGCAGTTTTTTGACGACTCGCGAAAAGCAAGCATGATTGCAACATTAAGCAAGATGTCCTATTGAATGTTAAATGATACGAAAATGAGGAACGATGCCGGTCGTAAGGCAGGAAAGGAATGCTGGCCGCTATCGCAATATTAATTGACGCAAGAAATTAGCTTCGCGATCCCTGAGAATGATTGATCGCATAATGAGAAATCCCTAATAATGACCTCGACGTTTTGGGGTCCGGAGAAATCGTGGTGGTGGCGGCGGCGGCGGCGATGGTCGGGGGTGGAAAGGTATTAAGAAACGACATTAGATTATAATTTATATTAAAATCTGTGCAAGGAGATAAAGAGAGGAGACACCCACCGACGGTCGATCTCAACCCTTCGCCAGTGGCGTAACATTCGTCGTCCTAAGACGATCAACGCGATGCTTGAGTGTTAGATGAAATTTATGTGTCAAAACTTAGAATTTATATTATATATCTCTCTTTCGCTTTTTCAAGAAAAAGAAGATATTTATTAAAATAAAGAAGTTATTAAAAATTATTACGCTCTGCGCAGGAAAATTGATGAAAAACAGATATATAACAATTGTAATAAAAATAGACTTTTTAGAAGAATTTATTGTATTGCCAATTATTGACAACTTTAAAGATAATTTCATAAATCTATTACAATTATCTAATAACAATATTGCAATGAAAATAAAGAATAAAAGTGTCATATTAATTAGTCTCTACGCCAATGAAGAATAATCAAGGGGTGGTCCAAGGGACGCTTTATGGCGGAGAAGTGAGAAAGAGAGACAGAAGCTGAAAGTACATCGCACATAAGGCAAGCAACGCAATAGCTGTATTATAGTGAAGCAAA